ACTGTATGCCATGCTGTTTATTCTAATGTCTGTGATGATAAAGAAAGGCCCCCTCCCCAAGAATTTAAAAAAAATCTGAAATGGTGTTTTGTGATATTATCAATGAGACTTGATGTACTTTGTTCCGCAGATCTGGCCTGACTGTTTGAAAGGCATGTGAGAAAATATGAAAGTTATTATATACAGTAGACAGGGCACCATTTGAAAAAAAAAAGAGAGAAAGCGAGAGAGAAAACCCCAAACCAATAGTGAAAAGGTGTTGGGAGGGAAGAAAGTGACAGCATGGGATGGATGCCAACTTTCTGCCTAGCAGAATAGAGTGTGTTACTACAATATACATGGCAAAGTTGTATACCACTCTTTTTCATGGAATTATGATAAAATATATCTGAAAATTAATTTCAGAAATGGGCAAACTGATCATACAAGGCTTGCAGCGATCAAACAGGATTGAAAACAGTATCATGAATATTTGGAGACTTCCCCCCATTTTTTTCTTTTCATTTTAAATATCAACCATGCGTTTAAATGTTGACAATGGCTGAGAGGGAAAAAAATGGTCTGGTATCTACAGTAGTATGTTTAAAGGTTGACAATGGCTGAGAGGGGAAAAAAATGGTCTGGTATCTACAGTAGTATTCCTTGCTATGGGGTTTATATTTCAATAGTGAATACTTCATTTTAAGCCAAACCACATTCCTCGAATGAACTATTAATTCTATCAGTGTTCTGTGTGTGCACGGATAAACACACACATATAAATACAGATTAATTTTCAATAAATTAAGTGTCTGACCATCCCTTTTAGCTTGTTTTTGAACCATTATGTATTCTGTATGGACTGTGATTGGGGGAACTGTTTGCTGTACTTGGTATTTGTATGGACATTTTCAAAAAACAAAAATCTGTTTATTTTACAGTTGTTTCAATGCCCGAATATACAATAAAAGCATCCATTTCAAAACTTGGCTTTTGTGGGTCTGTGGCATTTTGCATGGTCTGTAAGAACAAAGTAAAATATGGGGGAACTGCAATCTTAGACAAGAACCAAAAACATGCCGCTTTTACAATGTATGGCAGAGCTGGGGGAGGTTTCCTTGGGGATTCTGTAACTGCTGCGGCTATCTGACGGTCAGTGAAGACTCCATGTGTGCAATGATCATTTTAAAGCCATAAGCCCAAGTTGGGATTCAATGGAGCAAACCCGTATAGCAAACTAAGTGCAAGAACTGAATGTCCGAATGGTTAAGGTGTGGCTGGACCCATTTTCCAGAGATGAAAAGGAAAGCTGCTCACTGACATCATTTCTCCTCTTTCTGCCTTTATTCCTCCTGATTGCTAAGTCTCTAATTGGCTCAGTGAGCAAAGGAACCTCACTGAGCAGTGGTTCCCATCTGTGGTTCACAAACATTTGTGTGTGCGCTATCGAGATTTGTCTCCTCCTGGATCACTGGCCTTTCCCTTCTTTAGCTGCTAAATTACATTAAAAGAAGCTACAAGTACAATGAATATTTTCCTGATATTACATTGCTATGTAAACATTTGCTGTAGTTGCAAGAAGGCTGATGTGTAATCACGAGTGGGAGCGGAAGATGGTCCATGTGACTACAAATGGGAAGGGAGGGTGGTATGTGTGAGATTGCAAATGGGTGACCATTACTCCTCTTTGCAGTTTTCCATTGGCTCCCTTTTCTGTATTGTGTCACTGCCATGGCTCAGTCACAATGTACTCCCCCCCCCCCATGACTGGTTTTTTGGGGGAGGTCAACACTGGCAACCACCCAGAGCACTGTGGTTGGGAGGGGCTGTTAAGAGAGTGTAACAATAACAGCCTCTCTACCAACCCCACCCAGCTCTGCACCCTCACAGTCACAGTCTGCCTCCTGCCCCAGTCTGCCCCATTCCGCCTGCCCTTCTGCTTCACTCCTCCCACCCCACTCTGCCCCTCCAGCTCTGTCCCCATTCCCTGTCTGCCTGAACATCTGCTCCACCCTCCCAGCTTAACCCCCTACTCTATCCCATCTCCAGCCTCATCTGGACCTTTCCCCATCCAACCTATTGTTATGTGCTAAATCAGTTCTTGTTATGGGTTGAGTTACAACCCCACTGAGTTTGATAGGTGTAACTTTATCTTTCAATTAATATAACTGTAAATATAAGAGAGACCCAAGAATAACGGTTTGTATGAATCCACACTAGAGATTTTGGGCTGAGCATTGTTTTGGGTAGGTGTGAGTGTGAGAATACACAGACACTGAGGTCACAGATAAAAACAGAGGGGCAAAATTAAAAAAAAAAAGCAAGAAAAGCTGAGCAAGAACCTGGAAGTACAATAGGACCTTGGAAAAAATCTAGACAGCAGGAGAGTTTTGGGATTTGGTATTGGTCACAAGAGAGTTGAGGGCTCATAAGCTAAAACACTGCACCTTTTGGTATGTGAATCCTTCTGTGTTCAGAGACACAGGACTTCATACATTCCTTGTAAATAAACAAGATTATATCAGCAAAATACCTGACTCCCACCAATTTGGACTCCCAGCTAGAATATCCCAGGGCCTCAAACTTTAACCTCATTGCTTAGATCAATAGGGCAACACTATCATTTCTCATTCAATATTAAAGGGTTGACTCCTTTCTCTAGTAGGCCCATGATGCCAGCCCCCATCGTCCCTTGTGAAATTTTCAAACAAGCACCTTTGCACATTCTCCCATGATGCTCCTGATGCTTGGGAGAATTTCCCCCAAAGCATATGTAAACAAAACACATTATCTCTCCTTTATACTCTCCTCTGCCTCATTGTTTTCCCTTGTACTCACCTCTCTGTATCCATTCGTTGTCTCTTGTCTTATATTAAGATTGTAAGCTATTTTTACTGTGTTTGCACAGCATCCTGCACGGTGGAGTCCTGGTCCGTGGTTGGACCTCTTAACTGCTACAATACTACTAGTAGTAGTAATAATTAAAATATGGCTGCACTATGGAAAACGTGGAAGATCCCTGCCATAAAGTGAAACACTTATTCTGTTCTTAGATATACATGGGTAAGTCAGGAGTTGTTCCATTAACTGCAGAACTCAGCATCTGTCTCAGCTAACTCAGCCTCCTCTGGGAGGAGCATAAATACTCTTATGTCAGAAAGCAGAGTAAGACTTGATTAAGAATACATATAATGTTACTATGTTGAGTTATTTACTAAAATCCTTATTGAGATGGCCAGAATTATGAAGAAGAGCTAGGTTTGGAAGAGTGCTCAAAGATGAGTTGGTTACTCAGCCTCCTCTGGCTTATGTCAGAAAGCAGAGTAAGACTTGATTGAGAATACATATAATGTTACTATGTTGAGTTATTTACTAAAATCCTTATTGGGATGGCCAGAATTATGAAGAAGAGCTAGGTTTGGAAGAGTGCTCAAAGATGAGTTGGTTGGAAACACAGTCCCCCTTTTACTGTTTTAATCATTGCCACCAAGATCTCACCAATATAATATTTACTGAGAAGTAAGGGGGAACTTTACTGCCTTTAGTTTTCAGAAAAGATGATCCAGCCTTCATAAACTTTGTAAAATGTTATCATGGTATCAGGTGATACCAAGCTTAGAGGGGCTGCAACTGCTTTGGAGGATAGGGTCATAATTCAAAAAGATCTGGACAAATTGGAGAAATGGTCTGAGGTCAAGAGGATGAAGTTTGATACAGACAAATGCAAAGTGCTCCACTTAG